AATTACGAAAACTATGATAGTTTTATACCATACGATTGTTTACCCTTTTAACATAAAAAACATGGTAAAGTACATACTTGTAATTATGATATGGTAAACGAAAGAGCTTCATTGCCTTTTTGATAAACTTATTGTTGGAAATGTTGTGAAACGTATGTTATTATGAAAATTAATAGGGAGATTACGCGAAGAACACGCCCTGCTGGATTACCGAAAAATCAGATGTTTCAGGCTTTAAGCACTTAGTAACTATTACTTAAACTGTACTCCTAGCTTATTCTGGCTGCATTTAAAGTTGAGGGAGTCATCCCTAGTTATTAAGTTATGTTATCATTGGAATTATAACATTACATTTTTCAATCTTTCTATGATGACAATAGTTAATTACAGATATTTGTATGGCTCAGGTCGCGTTGTTTCTTCTAAAGTTAATTCGACTATTGTTAAATCCTAAACAAAAAATAAACTTTTGTCAAAATTTGACACATTTACTATGTATTTGACGTAACATTAATGATAGTCAAGTTTTACTATCGATAAAACAACGCGGCCTTAATTTTATACAAACATAGCTAAACTATTGTTTTATTTATAATAAATAGTAACTTTTTAGTAGTTCTAGGCTGATTATAGGTACAACCTAACAACCTATTACGTGGTTTTTCGCGTGCTCAAATGCAGTATAACTTTTTTGGTTGTTAGTAAATTAGGATTCGCAAGGGCAGATTATATCAAGTCGCAGTAGAAATTAAGAAATTGTGTCAATGTTAAACTAGGATCCCTGTGTGTAGGATTGGCCGTTTAATAAATATTTATTTAACTAATCTATACTAATATTATAAAGAGGAAAGAGGTATTTGATCATTTGTTTGTTTGTATTGAATAGGCTCAGAAACTAGTGGACCGATTTGAAAAATTCTTTCACGTTTAGAACCCTACATTATAGTAAAGTCAATCTGTCGAAAAAAAAATCGTTTCAGTGAAAAAAAAACCTAAAGGGTAAGTCTTGTTTTTTCTGTTGCCAAATGACGTCAGTAAGCCACTTTGGCGATGGGCATGTTCAACTCGTACACGTTTTTTGAAAAACTCAAAAAAACCTTAAAAAAATTTTTGAAACGGATTTTTCTCGTTTTGTATGCATTTTAGAAACTTTTTTTCGACCATAATTGTAGAGGGCGGTGAGTACTACAATTTATGTCATTGTTGCAATCTCGTACAACAAAAAATGCGCATTGTAGGTGGCGCTAAAGTCACAAAAAAGTGTTTTTTCACCCTGAAAATATCATTTTAATGGAAAACTTTAAATCGCAAAGTTGTTTCGTACATAATTACTAACAACTTTTGTATAAACAATTTTTTTGTATTACTTGTATTACTTACCGTTTTCAAGTTATAAATTGCGCAGGTATGAAAAATCCAATACAGCGGTTTTGGGCAGTTCAAGTACACATTTGCAGTGCACATTTCAGTTTTACTATTTTTTTGCATGATTGAAAAACAAAAAAAAATAGTAAAACATTACAAAAAAAAGTTTTTTTTTTATTTTATTTTTTCATGATTGAAAAAAAAAATAGTAAAAACGTACATTGAAATGTGCACTGCAAATGTGTACTTGAACTGCCCAAAACCGCTCTATTGGATTGGATGAACATAAGCTATATAGTATTTTCAAAAAAGTTAGGGTTCTGTATGAAAACTTCGATAACGTAATCCAGGCGGGTGTGAAAAAAATACCAAAAAATAATCTTATATAGCTTATGCTGCGGAAGTCATTGACAGTAAAGTGATGTAGTGTTGACCACACTTGGCATTGGGTCATTTACAATCAGGCGAGTCGAATGTATGCTTGTTTGTCACTCCGGCTTATTTACATAGAAAAAAAATTATATGAGCAATTTTATTAACACCGTTTTGTCGTTGACGTATCGGTAAAGACATCTCCTCATGCAATTATTCGAACCACTGGCCGTTGAGAATGTATGTACAATGTACTGCGATTAATTAAGTGGTTAATCAGCTTGTATGATTAATTGCCTGTTTACACGAAGCGTTCACAACGACGTACACTAAAATATATAAAGTATATTAATGAAATTGAGGAGATCGATCGCGCAGGTGGCTGTGATCATGGCAGTAAGCAATCTTCGCAATGGTCGATCATTGGATGGGTGACCTAAACCTTATAATCTCAAGCTCTTCCGTGCTTCGGAAGGCACGTTAAGAGCCCTTTTACAAAATTGCGCCGCTGCCATACTGATCGGCGCGTAGGTAGATTTGCACTAGTTACGGGTGCTGTTTCGAGTCTTATAAAGTAATTGTTAATGATCTTTTTAAAAAATATATACATATTTCAGTAGTTCAATGATGGTAGATTAGTTTTATGAAAGTTTTTGATAGTAATTCTATTTAATTCAATATCAAAATACGAGGTAAACCCGCATTATTTTTTGGGAAAATTCAAAATGTCTTTTTTGATAATTAATGAGATGGAAAATCAAAATTCTACTACATTATGTTACAACAAAAACATATTTCTGATGTCGTAGTAATTAATTTAATCTAGTTTAATTGAACACTATTAAGAGATTGGGGCGTTTGAAGTTGTGCATATTATAGTTTTTTCCGTAAACTAGCTACAGTAGAACGATCAGTACAAAAAAGAAAAATAGTATTTGCAAATATTCTACATTAACTTACAATAGGAAGAATAAATCTGTTTACTTCTATTGGAAATAGTCAAAATCTTTTCTAAGGGGGTAAACAAGGCGCTCAAAAATTACGATTTTTTGCAAAAAATGTGAAAGGGCTCTTAAGCCGTTGGTTTCGGCTACATTTGCAGTTGTGAATAGCTACCAATCAGCACTGGTTCCGCATGGTGGGTCACGGCCCAATCTCCCTATTCCATCAATAGGGAAGGCCTCCAGCAGTTGGAACATTATTAGGCTCATGATGATAATAATGATATTAATGAAACTGGACTATATTATGTACTTACTATGTTCGATAATTCTTCAAGTTAAGTTATCGAGTCTTCCTTTCCAAAGTAACCGAAATACCTATTAATTGATCCGAGGTTTAGCAGAAACTTAGCAAGAATTCTGTTGAAATTAAAATTAATTGGAGATTTTATATACAATTCAAGCTATATTTTTCATAGTATTTTACTAGACTAGACAGACAGTAAAAGTACGTTAAAGTGGTTAAAGTAATAGTTATAATTTGTACGTGAAAGTTTGCATATAATGCACCATTCTATGTTCACGAGCTCCGCTCAACATGGTAGAATTGAATCAAGTGATGTGACCAGTTAGTAATTATTATTTTTCTAGCAGTGTGAACAAGGCTTTGTGTGGAGTTTATTTGAATATGGACTACTTTGCTTTCTAGGGTCGATGACCGCATTGCTTATCGGATGTTTTCTCTAAAAAGTGTGTCCAATCTGGGGCTGCCAGATGGTCGGGAATCGTTTGGATTTTTCCGACATTTCATGTGATCTCAGACTCCAGACAAATATCGCGCCTGGGGAGGAGGAAAGGGGTATATTTTTTTCTTTGTAATTGCCTTCTAATATGAATCCGAATATTTTTTCCTGAAAACAGTTCAAAAGTCCCGACATTTTAAAATGTTCTCCAGACAAATTAAGACTTCCATCTGGCAACCCTAGTCCCAACTCCAGGAACATACGCTTCCAACACACTGCCAATGAAGCCTTTACTTTTATGTCTTTTTCTCTCAGACCAATCAACTCAGTTGGTGTTTTCAGGAGAGAAATGACAAATATATATAAATGGAGTATTTTTTTTTTGACTGTTTATTGCTACTTGATGTATGAACATTTTAATGTTTATTCAATCTTGCCAGCTATATTATTATAGCAGTAGACAAGTACTCCTTTAATATATACAAATGACAGGAATTTTTTTCAATCAGAAATGCCATTATCTATTTTATTTTATGCTTCTCTCACCTGCATGACGAACCTTCGGGTGGCTTTGGTACTAAATGTATTTAATATTGTTGACTAAATGCGCTAAAATTAACGTTCGAAATTTGTATTAGTTCTGTCGCAATGAATTAGCTGACTGCGTATCTATCTATAGACGCTAGACGATAGTTGGACTCACGATAATTTGACGCTAAAAGAGGTCGTGGAAAATAATAAATTTGTATGTACTACTGAAGGAGCGTACTTAATTCAAAGTTCGAACGCAATTTTAGCGCATTGTAGTACCAAAACTACCCGAAGCTTCTTCACGTAGATGTTGGATAAGCATTACAGCATTTAAATCCTAGAAGTCATTATTGACATGATTATTCTAGAGTCCAGACAGAAGGTATACATCTGAATTGCAAGCCAACTGTTTTTGTGCAGTCTGGAATCCTTAAAACTGCCAACAGATTACTTTATTCAGTGTTAATCACTGCATGATCATTGATGAAATCAACTTTATTACCTGAGTGACTCTGCAGTTTTATTTAAATACCTGAGGCAAAGCACGAACTTTGACAGATCCATAATTGTATCGTCCTCGACAAATTTTGAATAGAAGGAGCCAGTTTGTTATTACGTTTGGTAGGGCTGGTCTTTCTTAACATAGAATCTGACGATGCATCCCTATTACGAAGCTGTCAAAGTTCGTCCTTGTCCATCACTAATTTAAGTGATCTGTTGGCAATTTTAATGATTCCAGACTGTCCAAAAACAGCTAGCTTGCAATTCAGCTGTATACCTTGGACTCTAGACTAGACTAATATGTCAATAATGACTTCTAGCATTTAGATGCTCTAATGCACCAACGTGACAAAGCTTCGGCTGGCTAAAACTTCCCAGAGATCACGTAAATCAGTGATTGAAGTGGATCTCAGTGTTTATTTTCCTAGTCCTATTTTTTTTAGATAAACCTACAATAATGATTCGCCTGCATTTTAAATTCTGTGTTATACTCAAACACTCTCCGCCTAATGCTTCAATCGCCTCATTCCTACTATCTTTCTTCCAGCGCTACCTAGGCCTGCCCGTAATGCTGAAAGCAGGGGAATACTCGCCGAACAACCCCCTGGTTCGAGGAGAGCGCGCCTCCGGCTCGGGGGATGTGTTGTTGGGGCTCGGCGAGTATGAGCGACGACGACAGACACTAAGAAGACTGAGGCAGCAACAGTACAGGGAATACTTGGATCAGGTAAGACACCAAAAGGCAATGTTAGGTTATGTCTCGCCCCCGTAGACAGGATGGATGCACTGCGCATTCCCTTACCAACTATTAGGTTAGGTTGTGTTGTTGAGGCTCGGCGAGTATGAACGTCGGCGCAGACACTACGTAAGCTGAGACAGCAAAAGTATAAGAAATACTTGGATCAGGTAAGGCAATGTTCGGTTATGTCTCGCCCGTAGACATAATGGATGGTCTGCACATTCCCTATACAACTATTGGGTTAGGTTGTGTTGTTGGGGCTCGGCGAGTATGAGCGTAGGCGGCAGACACTGCGCAAGATGAGGCAGCAAAAGTGCAGGGAATACTTGGATCAGGTAAGGCAATGTTCGGTTATGTCTCGCCCGTAGACAGAATGGATGCACTGCGCGTTCCCTACACAAATATTGGGTTAGGTTATGTTGTTGGGGCTTGGCGAGTATGAGCGACGCGACGGCGGCAGTCACTGCACAAGCTGAGGCAGCAAAAGAACAGGGAATACTTGGATCAGGTAAGACACCAAAAGGTAATGTTAAATTATGTCCCGCTCATGGATAGAGATTGGATGGACTGCGCGTTCCCTATACAACTATTGGGTTAGGTTATGTTGTTGGGGCTCGGCGAGAATGAGCAACGGCGGTAGACACTGCGCAAGCTGAGGCAGCAAAATTACAGGGTATACTTGGATCAGGTAAGATACCAAAAAGCAATGTTAGGTGATGTCCCGGTCATAGATAGAGAATGGATGGACTGCGCTATCCTTAACCAACTGTTAGGTTAGGTTGTGTTGTTGGGGCTAGGCGAGTATGGGCGACGGCGACATATGTTACTGTCATGTGGCAGTAAGGAAAAGAAGTTTGTTTTCAATTTTAAAGGGTACGAATTATATTATTTCAGCACGTCTTCATCCTCCTGTTTCAAACAAGTAAGTGAATGATTGATACGACCAATCGTTTGGTGATGGAGTGGTAAGTTTGATAAGATCAATCGTTACTATTTCCGTCAGATTGATCGAAACGACGAATCTTACCGTATGTATTTAAACGCCTACGGGCCTTTTACTTTTAATTTATGTCAAAAATGTTTGTTTACGCCCTTTTAAAATAAAATCTCCCTAGTAGCTTGAAGCAGCAAAAGCCGTTTTTTTGTTGTTGCCCTTCTATATAAATAAAACTGTATAGATTCACGCAGCGAGACGCATAAATGTATCGTTGTACAATGATAAAGACTTCTAGAAAACTTTCTGAACTTTGTATTAATACCGTAACAATATAATATTTTATAGATATTGTTAAATAATTATTTAACGCTGTGAAGTTTTTTTCGCCAGTGGTAGTAGGGATAAAAATGTGGACGATTCAAAAGAGTTGTATTGTTCCTAAATTGGATAAAGACTTTTGACTTTAGTAAAAAACAAAAACCGCCAGAAAAACTAAATGTAAATGTACTCATCAAAAAATCTATAAGCAACATAGTCTTTTGAACTTTCGACCGTTTTAAATATTTTAATGCTTATATTTTAGTACTTAATATGTTTATTTTTTAAGCAATTTGTAATGTTTAAAGAAATATTGTTTTGTTTTTTTAACCATTTAGATTTTTGGTGATAAAGGAAAAAAATTTTTTTTGAATAAATTATAAATTTAATAACGTTAATATAAAATATCAACTGATATAACATGCATTTTGTGTAATGTGTGTAATTTTTTCTACACCCTTCTAGCAAGCAAAAAAGAAGCAGGAAGCCAAAGACCAAGCGGAAAGAGAGAGAAGAGAGTCTGAGCAGCGGGACAGGGAGTACGTAGAGAGGGAGAGAGAACGAGAAGACAGGGAGCGCGAACAGAGGGCCCGCTTTTTAGAGCAGGAGAGAAGTTCCGAGCAGAGAAGAGCTAGTGTGTGTTACACTGACACAAGAACGAATAGGAGGTAATTATATTTTTATTCATTTAACTGGAAGATCTTTAAATCTGAAGAAAATTTATTATAAAATAAAACACGCGGCCAGGCAGCAGACGGGTCTCGAATCCGCACCTTGCTATTTCTTCTTTCAAATGTTTAATACCTGTAAAGTTTATTCATTTGGACATTGTGGGTTACCTACAATGCGAAGAGCTTGCAGCTTAAGAAAGGCTAGAAAGAATTCGACACGAATGACAATGAATGATAATTAATAAATAAGATATCTGTATACCTACAGTGAGCTTTTGGTGTAGTTTTTAATTTATTAATTTGATCACTATTTTAGGCGGTTTTTATTGAAAATGGGTTGAAATTCAAATTCAGCGGGCCAAAACAGCAAAAAAAAAGTTATTTGACCATATGGAATATGGAATTTATCCTGCTGTGTATGCTGAGTCATATCCAGTGTTGGCATCACATAAAATACACATTACTGTTTGTAGCTGTTTTTTGTTGTTGTTAATTTTACTTGTACGTTTCGTTTTACTTTATGTTAAATGTATTTTTGCATTTTATGTGTATGTTATGTGTTGTCAGCAATAAAAACATTTTTCTTTCTTTTTATATGCGTGATTGTATTGTTTGACAGCTCCTCATATGTTATGTTATTTTCAGTACCGTTGACACCGGTGTTCAAGTGAACTGTATCTCCACACCTTTATCTGTAGCCGTACAAACAGATGACATTGACTTCTATCAGGTAAGCTTGGCCCTTGAAATTAATTATATTTTTTATTTTATAACATTAACAGACAAATATCGACCATAGTTCTGAGTCAAATAATGCTATATAATCTCTACAAATAGATTTCAATAGAACCATTTTCTTTTATTACTACAAATAGAAAAGGGAAATAGGAACATAGAAAATTGTTAAAACATTGTAAACTTAGTTGCATTTTAAAAGACTTTACTTTGACTTTAGATTTTAAATTTTCGATGCGAGTATACCTTAAGATTATTTTATGTAAAACTTGAATAGTCATCTCAAATAACTACTTTATTCGAAATTTACAAACATGTATAATGTACTTTTTTTTTGAAAATGTTATGGGTACGACAGACTTTTGTAACGGGTGTGACACTGTATGGTTTTTTAAGTTTTATCGTAAATAAAAAACGCTTTAATCAACATTACTTTATTAAAAATCGTTCCAGATAAGAAAACATAAAAATTTAACATGAGATTTGGTCTAACATTAATAATTTCTTTTGTGCAAACTGATTAATTTATATAGTTCTAGAAAACAGCTAAAATTTTTATTTTACAATTTTTTGAGACTATGATTATTTAGAACTCCAAGTAGGGTTTTTGTTTTAGTTAATAACACAATTGAATTTTTATCACAGTAGGGTAAAGTTTCATGGAAATACCCCGGGGCGAATCGCTTATATATGAAGAAAAGTAGGGTATAGCGGATTCCCGCCCGTCTGGGGAAGTAACTTCCAACTTACAGACGACCACAGTAAAGGTGTTGTGTTTCTTTCGGTAAGGCTTCAGGACTCCACGGGGTAGGCGATTGGGTCAGGGCAACGACGCGAGTGCTATTTTTGGTAATGCAAGCGTCTATAGGGCCGCTTACCATCAGACGGGCTATAAGATTGTTCGCCACCCTTTTAACGAAAAAAAATACCTGTATGTTAGCGTTTCTACTTATTAAATATTTTTTCCTGATTTAATATTTTCTATTTAGCTATCGTCATCAAAATGCCAGCTAACTGAAGCTGAACGCGAATTATCTCCTCACACCGTAGTGTCCAACGATGAACGGCCTATACAGCCAGCACCTTGGACCAATGATCAAAGAAGAACCAGTGTGGGAGAAAGGAACGGTGAGTTATTATAAATTTTAAACTGCTTTTTATTAGATTTATAATAAAAATGGAAATGGTACCAGAAATACATCCAGTCCTAGGGTCGTGGCTAGATTTGTATTTAAGACTAGCGGCCGGCCGCGACTTCGTACGCGTGGATTTAGTTAGAAATAAAGGTTCACTGCTCGTTCCCCGTAGGTGATAGCGTGATGTTATGCAGACTATATGTTGACCCGACTTCTTTATAATATTCGTGCCAAATTTGAAGTAAATCCATGCAGTACTTTTTGAGTTTATCCCGGACATACAAACAGACAAAAATTCTAAAAACTATATTTTTGGCTTCGGTATAGATTGCAGATCACACCCCAAGTATTCTTTTAAAAAAAATATTCAATGTACAGTTTTGACTGACTTTCCTACCAATGTAATTCGCTAGAAACAAGGTACATGGTAACAATCCCGTATATAACTTATGTTACTACTTATAAAACATGTTATTGTTCCACTCACATTGAACAGGCATCTGAACATAACCAATACGACAGAACATTTGTGCAGTAAGAAAACAAGAGATATTACAAAATTAATCTTATATATAAAATTCTCGTGTCACAATGTTAGTTACCATACTCCTTCGAAAAGGCTTGACCGATTATTATGAAATTTTATATGCACATTAAGTAGGCCTGAGAATCGGCTATTTTTCATACCTCTAAGTGATAAGAGTTGTCCACAACCCTAAATTTTTACCCTTCTATCACCTTTCCCTATTTTTATGGCCGTACGAAGTTCGCTGGGTCAGCTAGTAACACAATAAAAAAATGAACTCATGAAGTCGACTATTATAGTTATCCTTTTTTTACATATAAGTAGACCAAAAAAGATGCAAGAGGTTACTATATCATCAGCGTGCATACCACTATATAAACGTTTAATTTGATATCTTTATCCATAAGAAAAGTTTTACTAGAAAAAAAACCACGCGGACCAGGCAGCGGACGGGACTGGAACCCGCACCCTTCGCAATCCAGGCGAATGCACTGACCAATTATGCTACCACGGCCCTGATGGCCGCGTCGAAATTTTCCTAGCCTTAAGCTGCAAGGCAGCGCAATCTCTTCGCATTGTAGGTAACCCACAATGTCAAATGAATACTTTTTCAAGTATTAAACATTTGAAAGAAGAAATAGCAATTATAGTTATGTTTTTATTCTTTACTTTTTAAGCTGCCTTGCGGCTTAAGGCTAGGAAAATTTCGACTCGGCCATCAGGGCATTCGCCCGGATTGCGAAGTGTGCGGGTTCGAGTCCCGTCCGCTGCCTGGTCCGCGTGGATTTCTTTTTTCTTGTAAAACTTTTCTTTAGATTTAAACATCTAGCAGTTAAATGCTTAAAAAAATAAAAACTTAATCTTTATCCTTTTTTCGCTTTGTGATTATCTTGGTCACCTTTACGATACCGAATCAAAAAGCGATCTAATGTCAAATGCAAACTACCAACTCGCCACTAATACTTTTTGGTTGGGTAATACGTACAGTCTATGCGGAAGTGTACGCACAAACTTCATTGAATTACATGCATGCTTTAGTTCTTGTTCTGAGAGATATTATTAAAACACCGTATAGTGGCCAATGATGAGCGGCCTATACAACCAGCACATTGGAGTCCTTGGGCTAATGACCAAAGAAAAACTAGTCTGGGAGAACGGAACGGTGAGTGTATTATATTGTTATTTTAAGGATTAACCTGCTAGATTTATAAATCTAAATAAAATTTTACTAGTCTGTATTATGATTATCCACTGAGGCCCAATCGCCTAACCAAGGGCGGATCCAGCTTTGGCGCCAGGGGGGTCATATAGTCTTGGTATATTAAGTATTAAAAGTACTTAAATAAAATCCCCCCCCCCCCCCCCCTGGATCCGGCCTTGCGCCTAACGGGATTGCTATGAAAATGCCCCGTGCTCTTTTTTTTTCTTAAGTATTGGTAACACCAATATAAAAGAAAATGAGCGTAAGGTATTTGAAAACCTTCGGCAATCAGAAATAACAACATAAAATCGTAAGCTATAGCGATAGCCATAGCAATTCAGTTAGGCTAATGCCCCCCTGGTCTGTGTAGCCCTCCATTTTGTTTTTCACGGCAGGAAAATAAAAAAAATCCGCCCGATTTTCCTCTTATTATTCGAGTTCTACTCTACATCCAGGCTACATTTATGTCTTAAGTCAATCCTGAATAGTTTCTCTGCAAACTTATCTATATATTAGATGTGTTAATTAAAATCTATTGCTAAATATGATAAAACGCAAAATACGCGATATTGGTTCGTGCTAAGGGTACAGATCATAGTTTCTGTGTTCTGTGGTTCCAAGGTACTAGCGGGTGCACAGTTGCTTTGCGGTCGAGTGTAGTGTATTCGATTATTACGCGCGTTCGGCTGCGATCGTTGAAGTTTCCCAGTGGTCGGTCATTGGATGGGTGACTAAAAATTTACTATCTCGAGCTCCTCCGTGCTTCGGTAGGCACGTTAAGCCGTTGGCCCCGGTCGTTAGCACCCGTCATTCCGCGCTGGGCCTGCATGGTGAGTCGATGGCCCAAACTCCCTTTTCCATCCATATGGAAGGCCTATGCCCCAGCAGTGGGGATGTAACTACATATGTTATGTACATGGATTATACTATGTAGATGCACGATATTTGATCTACCTATACGGCCGTCAAGACCGGGAGAAAGCCCTCTCAGTAACAGAGTAACTTGTAAAGCACACTGTATTGTACACCTGTCTTTCTAATAAAATAAAATTTCACTCTTCAATTGGTATTAATTTGGACTCTCCATAAATATTAGTTACTCCGCCAAATTGGTGACCCCGACGTGATTATTTGGCTGATGGTGATGAATTGATATTTCTGTTTTTGTAGAACGATCGCCACCAAGGAAATCGAGTCAGAAGCTGCAGAGCGTCTACATGCCTTCCATATTCGACGCCGACGCCATACAGATGAGGAACTTGCAAGCTGAGAAGGTAAGCAACATTTTATATCATAATTATATCTAAAGATACATTATTAGTGCACCTTTACACCATGTATAGATAATACATGTTAAATTTAAAAAACATAGGACTTACTTCAAAAACATAGGACTTTCATACAAACTTCCAACCCTCGTACTACCATCCCCTTAGGGGTGGAGTTTCGTGGTAATATGTTGTCTATGTCAAATTCGAAGTAAATCCATACAGTACTTTTTGTATTTATCCCGGACATACATACAGACAAAAATTCTAAAAACTATTTTTTTGGTTTCGGTATCGATTGTAGATCACACCCCAAGTATTCTTTAAAAAAAATATTCAATGTACAGTTTTGACTTTCCTACCATTTTATTATATGTATAGATGGGCTTGATTATTTAAATAAATATTTCCAACACACCATGCCAGCCTGAACCCACGAATAGGGATGATGACGGGGTAAATTAAACAAAGTTCTATTTATTTATTTATTTATTTATCTTTAACAAAGTTTCTACAGCGGTTTTTGTGAAATTTAATACAATAAAATATAGATATAATCTTAAAGCCAATTACAGAAACTCATTACGTACACATTAGATATTAACGGCGTTATTATATGTCAGTAATTATTACATTTAATTTAATTTTAAAAATTGCATAAAAATCGTATAATTCATTACCATAAAAATAAAATAAAATTAAGATTGGGCAAAAACATAACAAAAAGACAAAAAAGAAGAAAAACAAACACTGAATATCCATATAAAAAGGATTTCAAGAGTTTGTCACATGACAACCTTATGAAGTGTGAGTGGGTGTGTGTGCGCGTATGTATGAGTGTTTGTGTGTGTGTGTGTGTGTGTCCCCATGCAGCTGCAATGCTATGCCTGGTAACGAGATGGCGGACGCCGCAACCCGGGCACTACATCATTCAAGTAGGTACTTCAGTGTGAGTGCTTGTAATTGTAGGCCTACATGGCGCTAAGAATAAAATGAAATAAATAAATTAAATTGAAATTGAAACAAAAACAAATGTCAGGGAAAATTATTTAAGCCGTAAAATGCAGTGCAGTCATTTTTCATATTATTGAGAATACGAATTGATAATTATAAATAAAAATAAAAATTCAAATAAATTGTATGAATTAATAATAATAAAATAAATAATAACAAAAGCTTATTTGGGTCTTGCGGTTATAATTTCAAATAATGTCGTTTTAAAAGCAGCTCTGGACAAAGAGAACAGGTCGATATCAGAGAAGTACTTGTTGTACGTTTTTGGCAACCTTACCGTCATATCGTTAGCCTCGTAATTTGTACGCACAGATGGTACATGAAAAAGTTGCGTGTGGCGTGTTCTTTTTGTAGGAGCCTTTAAGGAAACTATTCTATTTATCAACTCGGTGCAGTCCAGTACTCCAGAACATACATCGAACAAAGTCATCATGTCCCGCATGCGTCGCCTGTCACCAAGAGTAATGAGACCGTATATGCTACATGACTCCCCATAACCATTGGATTCATTTTTGACTCTAAAGTTTAAATACTTTACGAATTTCATTTGTATTCGTTCAATGGCGTGTTCGTGTGTTATGTACTGTGGATTCCACACGGTGCTACAGTACTCAAGAGTACTTTGAACATAAGCATAATATAATACTTTCATGCAAGCAGCGTCCTTGAAATCTTTCGTGACTCTGAAAATAAATCCTAATTTTTTATAAGCCCTGGTGGTTATATCGTTAAAATGATTGGCGAATGTTAATTTTGAATCCAAAGTTACCCCTAGATCCCTCACAACATTCACTTGAGTCACTACTTCATTATTAAGTTTGTAATTGCACAGAACAGGATTTTTGCGACTTGTAAACACAATATGCACGCATTTTGCCGTGTTAACTGTTATCCTATTTCTTATGTAATACTCTGAAAGTCGGTCCAGATCTTCTTGCAATTTCAAACAGTCATCATATGATTCAACTTTCATGTAGATTTTTGTATCATCAGCGTAGAGCAAGAACCTAGCATGCTTAAGACATGAAGACATATCGCTTATATACGCTATATAGAATAGAGGACCGAGTAACGAGCCCTGCGGCACGCCTGACGTTATATTGATATAGTCAGAGCGAATCCCGCCGATCACAACAGCCTGTTTACGATTAGATATGTAAGATTTTATCCACCTGTACAAATCCCCGCGTATTCCCAGTTGATAAAGCTTTTGCAAAAGAATGATGTGATCCACGCGGTCGAATGCCTTCTCAAAGTCCGTATATATTACATCCACCTGTGAACGATAGCCCATGTTACGATGCAGTTCACTTATATACAAACTTAAATTTGTAGTTGTTGATCTCCCCTTGATGAAGCCGTGCTGTTCGTCGGGTATGCCTTGCTTTAAGATTGGATATGTTTCCCTGTAAACAAATTTCTCTAGAGTCTTTCCGAAAACATTCAAAATGGAGATAGGGCGATAATTCGCAATTTCGCGCTTGGAGCCCTTTTTATGGATTGGAACAATGTGCGCTTCTTTCCACTTAGACGGAAAGACTCCTTTATTGTAAATTAATAATAAAGGGAAAGAAAGTGCCGCTGCACATTTTTTTATAAAGAAAGGAGGTATTTGATCGCTACCAGCTCCCTTACAGGGGTCCAAGCCAGCGAGTTGCTTGTAAACCTCATCTTGAGTTACAGAAAAGGAATGAACTGAATCGCGTGAACTAATCGAAGGGAGTCCCTCGTCCGAGTAACTCCAACTTCTTAAGTGCTGGGAGAACAAACATTCGCTCGAAGTAATTGTTGAAGGCCGCGCAGATGGTAGGACCGTTCGTCAACTGCTTATTGTCATACGTGATTGAACCAGGGTATCCCGTATTACGTTTACGCTTCGAATTAATATATGACCACAGTAATTTAGGGTTAGACTTTATGTAACCCTGGCAAAGAGTTATATATCTTTGATAGCAGTGATCTTGCATGACTTTAGCTCTTCTCCTCAGCAAAGAAAAAACGTCATAATCTATCGGGTTATTATACCGTTTCCAATGATGATGGGCACTCTTTTTCTCCGCCAGCAAACAGATGAGAGCACGACTATACCACGCTGGGTATCGATTAGATAAATTAGTATCAACGGTGGGAACGTACCTATCTATAACATCGTTTAAAATTGAGTAAAATCCGTTGACCGCCTCATCGACAGTGCCCGACTTCAGCACACTCCTCCAATCAACACTCTCCAATTCCATGTTAATGGCGTTGTAGTCTGCCTTGCGAAACAGTTTTTTTTCCCTTGAACATTTTGGCACACAGTTAACAAATATATCGCTCGCATCGATATCGAGAGTGGTGTGCTGAGCGTCCTCCTTTACCAGCGTAAAGGCTGAGAGACGAATGCCCACGTCAAAATTACTGAAGAACAGGTCAAGCGTATTTCCCACGTTATTCCTGTACGTGTTACGCTGGTGAAGTCCCAGAAAACACGCTTGATTTACTAAGTGCGCCCCCGCGTTCTGAAGATCGATGCATCCTTTTTTTAAATGTGTAGGTCCACAATAATCCCACGTAATATTAAATAGATTAAAATCGCCAGCCAATATAAAAAAGTCATTATTAAAATTACTAGCGATGTCGGTAATTAAATTTATGCAATTGTAAATTAAAGACGGTAATTTGGGCCCCGGCGCCATGTAAGCCAGCGCTATGTGCAGATCGTGTTCTAAGTTTATTGTGCGGCCGTCCAAGGTCACCCAAATGCATTCAACGTCAGCGCGTTGCCACTCAGTGCGGGCTCGAGCGTTCAGTCGTCGATTGCACATAATCATGACACCACCGCCGTGAGATCCGCGGTCGCGGCGAAATATCTCGTACCTGCAATTTGATAATTCTGAATCCAAAATGCCGTCATTCAACCAAGTCTCAGTTATAAGAATAATGTCGTGATCCGTTCGAAGTAAATTATTGTAAAATTCTAATGTCTTGGTACGAAGACCACGAACATTTTGATATAAAATGTTTAGCTTACGTCCCATATTTTGAGATCTTTACTGTGAACCGTGCGTTTGATCAGTAATGAAAATTTCCAAAGCAAGTGATCTGTTTTTAATAATAAATAAATAGCCGTGACAGCATTTAGGCACAGTATGTAAGCTGCAAAATAATTTCGCACATTATCACACGATAAATAATTGTATACAATAATGGAGGTATTTGTGTTGATGTAAAGTGTAATAAGCTGTTTGTATGTTTTATGAGTATTTGGTAAGTATAAAGTGTTATCATGTGACAAACCGAAAGTCAAGCAATAAGTTAGGGACAGAAATTCATTACAGAATGATATGTTAATACTATTTAAATTCCTTTGATTATTTATTAGGTAATTTTGCTCAAATCCTCCTCGCAAGATATCAGAATGTATGGCGATTTTTCGGCTTTCCTTGTATAAATTCGGCAGTTTTTTGTCCATACAAATTTATAATTAAAATCTTTAGCTTTCGCCTTGCAACTACTTAATAACTGTTTATTTTTTACAGTTAGATGTTCGTTAATATATATATTACTGGATTCGCCATCCATTCCAATATCCTTTGAGGTAATTTTACCACATTTACGTGAAGCTGACAAAACCGTATCCTTTTTATTTCGATTGTGAAAGCGAATAACCAGATTACGTGGCTTTCCCTTGACTTGTCTCTTCATCTGAACACGATGGACGAAATCCAGGTCTTGGTGGTTAATTGGCACGTCTAGATGTTTAGCGATACTATCGATTATGTCAGGCAGGGATTCCTCACTGGTCTCTGGTACGCCGGCAATCTCAATATTTTGCAGTCTTGACCACTGCTCTTGCTTTAATGACACCTCTTCCATACTATTTACCTTACTTTGGAGCAATTTTATTTGATTATTGAGGTTATTAGTATCAGCCTGCAACTTCTTTGTAGTAGCTGTGCTTTTATCAACCGTGGTTTTAATAGAATCATACATATCGCTTACAGTTTTGACAGATTTTTCAAGATCAAGGAATTTGTTTTCTAATGCTTTTGATACGGCCTCAGTAACTTTTTCCAAAAAGCTGGGTAACTCACGGCGAAACGCCAGCTCAAATTCAGCTCTTATGGCACCTAAGATATCATCCGACTTTTCATCTGCTGCACAGCTACTGTTGCTGCTTGCTGATGTCCGACGAGTACGAGTTTGAGTATTTACAAAGTCATCATTGCAGCTCATGGTCACTTTTACCGGTGTATCGGTGTTGTCTCCGTGACGCTTTTGTTTTGCTTTACATTCCGGACACACCCAAGTAGTTAGCAAAGATGGATTATTACCCTTAACAGCAACGCAGGCTCGGTGATACTGGAGCGTGCAAGATGAACTGGTGCACGTTACAGCACTCTCTTTAGCTTTTATAGAAATAGCACAGGCACTGCACTTCACAACCATTGTCAGGGCTATCTAGAAGCTGAACTTTGATATACTTTGATTATTATCGCAGAAATAATAGAAAAAAATGATAAAATTAATTTCAACATTCAAAAACGAACCGTTCGCCATTAAACTTTTTTTTTTATACCAAAATATATAACACTGGTGCAAAAGGGCGGACTTAATGTTAAAAGCATTCTCTCCCAGTCAACCTTTGGGAAAAATGAAAAACACGAACGTCCGTAACATAGATTTATCAAAAAAAAATGGACACTTGTTTTTTTTCTTTTATCAATCAACCGAACAAATACCTTATTAATTCACATAAATGCAACACCACCAAACATTTTATTCACTCTTTAAGGTGGAGATTGCTACTACTACTAGCTACTACTAATTCGATCGGATAAAAAATAAATAATTCCAACTCTCACACTAATTAGCCTAGCCCCAAAGTAAGCACTATAAGGCTTGTGTTATGGGATGCTAGGGTAGTGGATAGAATACATATATTGATACATATATAAGTATATTTATATAGAAATATATATTAAACATCTATGACTGGAGTACAAATGCTCGTATTCATTCACAAACATCTGCCCCCATCGCGATCGGGTTCGAACCCGGGATCTCTCGAGTACCTAGGCGGCATCTTGAAACCCGGCGTTCAAACCACTCGGCTACGGTGGTAGTCAAATGGGCTTGATTCTTTAAAACTGTATTTGACGTCAGTGTAATTTTTCTTTTTGCAATGATGAATGATAAATCACCCTAATATTATAAAAGCGAAAGTTTGTGAGTGTGTATGTTTTGTTATTTCTTCACGTCTAAACAGCTGGAGCGATTTTAATAAAATTTGATATGGAGTTAGCTGACACCCTGGATTAACACATAGGCTACGTTTTACTGCTAGAAAATATCCCTAAGAAACTGCGGGTAATACCGCGGGGCACAGCTAGTAAACTATGTAAATAAACTGCAGTTTATTTTCTTACATTCACCCCATTAGTGATGACGACGGGTTAAAGTAAACGAAATTCTATTTAATCCGTCAATTAGATTTTAAAATAATAAGGGCCACTTATTTTTATTTTTTCAACAAAACTTATCAAACGACCAAATAAATCCGCGTCAAAGTCTGGGAATGCGGGCTCGTGACATCACGTCACTTCTAAGTAAAAAGTGTACCAAGACGTGACGTAATGCGACATGTGAAAATGGGAAAAAATAGTTATATTTTTGGTGCTGCGTTTTTATATAGATAATGGTACGGAACCTTTAGCACACGTGACTGACTCGCGCTTGTCCAGTTTTTTTTATGTAAGTATGTATATTTTTTCTAGGAAGCTGCGGCGCGTCGTCAATTCTACCAACAGGAGTTAAAGAATCAAATCTTGGAGCAACAGAGGATCAGAGAAGAGAGGAAAGCTAGAGAAAAGTGAGTGGAAATAATATGTATCACGATTCTAAGTTTAATTAATATAATTAGTTTTATATTTTTTATAATTAATTTATTTATTTAAACTACTGCTCATTTTATTACATGATTACCTGGCATCCTTTTTTAAACAAGAGTTTTTCTTCTAGTAAATATGTTCGGTGAACTTGTTCCAGGATGTTGGAACAAGCTGAGATGCGTCGTCTGGAGGAACAACTGCGTATGTTGCGTGCCGCACAAGAACAAGAGAAGGGAGTTATCGCCGATATCGATAGTTGTGTACGTATTATTACAACATTTATTTATTTTATCGACATTATTATGTTATTCTGCCCGATAAAAATATTTCAGAAAAATCTTATAGGTACTCTATTCCACTTCATCTGAAGCAAAAGCTAAACACGTAAACGAAGGTTTCTAACACCGAAATCTAATAAAAACAAATTACTACGTAAAATTCCACGCGTACTAGGAGGCCAATCTCCTAACAAGATTACTATGGATATCGCTTACGATTTCATTTTCTTTTTCTGACCTTTAGCGGTTTTGAAATGTCTCGCGCTCTTTTTTTTCTTTTGCATTAATAATAACAATATTAAAGAAAATGATCGTAAGGTATTTGAAAACCTTCGGGGGTCAGAACTAACAAAATGAAATCGTAAGCTATAGCGATATCCATAGCAATTCCGATAGGCAATTGACCCCCAGGGCGCGGACGGGATTCGAACCTACACCCTTCGCTTCTAAACCATATCGAGAGTAAAGACGACCGGTGTAACCAGACTGATTACAAAATTCCACATTTCCCATAACATAAAGTAGTAGGATTATAATGCGTTCAAAGTTTAGAAATTTAGTTTTTTTTAATGTCTCATTCTTTTAAATTATGATTTTTAAATGTGTGTAAAATTCAACCTATTGAAAAATGTTTTTAAGGTTTGTTTACCTTTTGTAACAGAGAACAGAGGAAATTGACTAGAGATCGAATTGATCCCAATAGGATGTCCACAAGTTTAGAAAACGATCTCACGTTATTTACTAATCTTTATGGGATCTATAAAAAGTAGATATTCATCATTCTGTTGTGTATATCAATAAAAAACTAAATCAAAATTGAAAAAATAAGATTACCGCCAAACGTTTCTTTGGACATTATGGCGTCTTACCGGTGTGTGACGTCACACGACTGTCATTAAAACGTCAAACGATACAATGTAATGTCACTTTGACCGGATGTTTACTAGTGTGTGACGTCATTTTAGTCTTCGCCAATCCCAAGCGTTTTCTGCCACCATAGAACAAAAAAATCATTTATTTTTAATTATTTTAAAAAAAGTTGTTAATTTTTTGTTCTCTCAGTAAAGTATGAGCATCCTTCTAACCTCTTTCTGTGTTCTATGCTAAAGATGATACAAAAAAATTGTGGCGTTGTACTTAAAGTTTCACTTTAATAATAAAAATAAAACTCCTCTATTCACAGATGATGAAAAACGCCGTAGAATACGATACGAAACGCACAGAAATACAAAAGAAGATAGATCAAGAACAGCAAAGGTTGATCCGGACACCAATAACGCATCACGCTATAACTAAACGCATAGAAACTTCCAGAAGCGATGGCGCAAAATTACCTTACCCTACTTTAGCTGAGAGAAACTACGAAAGCAATTATACGAAAAACCCAGAAGATAAATCTTACCTTCCCCAAATACAGAAAGATGCTATATTTTCACCGAATTATGACGTCGATAGTTACTTGAGAAAGAATTTGAACTTCAAAGACAAGGACCATTTCGACATAGACAATATTGGCGCAGAAAAAGTACACGAAAGACCTAAAACTAAGCCTGAAAAAAGAATAACTACGCATCAAAATCCTATTGATTCTCTACCGATACCTGTTTTGCGACATTCGCCCTTAATGCAATGCGGTAAAGTCGAAAATGATTTGAGTGATGCGATGAAGAAAGTGGAAGACAAATGGAAAGTGCCTGCCGTCCAAAAGAATATATTGAAATCTGTGCCTAATGTTGAAGGTGGTAAAAATGTTAGTATTTTAACTCAATTGGGTTCCATAAGGCGACAATTGCAATTGGAACAGTTGAAATTGGACAAAATGTATTGTAAAGATGATGGGGAATTGAGTAATTGATTTTTGCGATATTGCTTTCAAACTTGGTCAATTTACTGTAAAGCAGAAAGATTGCACGTTAAAAATATTGTTTTTATTCAATATTTAATGTAGCTGGACTTTAAGACTCTCCACAAGGGCGGATCCAGGGAGGGGACTATTTGCCCCCCCGCTTGATCTTGAAGCTTGATCCGCCCTTGACTCTCCAGTACTAAGTAAGTTCTTTAGAAGCTTTTGTTAGAATGTTCCTTTGAGTCGGTTAACTAGGTGTAATTTAACTGTTGATAAGTTACTTTGTCCAAGTCTAAACAATTGGAAAATCAATTTGTCCGTTGAGTTTGTGTCATTTGTTTTTTTATAAATATTTTTTTATTGTCGCATAAACATTGAGAAATATGTTAAGATTTTTTTAATCGAGCTATGTTAAAATTATTACTCCAATAAATAAACGGTTTTCTAAAATGGCAATACTAGTCATTTCCGTCCCTCACGCACATCATTCCATAAATGTCTATTGTCGCCATTTTGGTTTCGTTTTTATATCATAATAATATATACTTCTAATATATCAAATGAATGATTGTATTGTTTGTAAATGTTGTTTTTTATAATCCAATTAATAATGTTGTGAATGTTAAAATAATTTAAAATGAATGCGTATTGTTTTATTAATTTAATAAATTTCATAATTTTATAATTATTATTCACAGCAAGAGTGTAGATACAAACTATTTTAATTGAAAGAAATTGATGTTTTGATAATCACACTCTTGTTGCTAGTTGTCAATTTTGTTTTTATTGATATTCTTACACATAAACGAAGTGATTTGTAATCTTTTAAATAAGATCTTCAAAATCTACTATCCTACATTTTGTAATGTCCCATTTTGTAGTTTCCCTTATCGAAATAAATCTTAATTAGGTACCTAAAAGTTTTCTAATAGATGACTATTAATATATTTCTGTAAATTAAAAAATAATATAGTGCCATTGAATAAATTAATTAGGTGTGTACTAATAATAGTAATTTGCTTGTACCGACATAATAATATAATAACTAAAGAATATTTACCTATCTCTGGTTCAGCCTGTTTTTATTTCTACATTTATTACTAACTAGTTTTTGCCGGCGACTTCGTCCCTGCTAACTTTAGTATTGAGCAGTTTTCCGTAAGAACTTTTTAAATTCTTAAATAAAAAGATATATGAAATCGGTAAAGCTTTTTTCAGGTATAGACCAAAGGAAACATGAATTATTTTTTATATAAGTATATACATAAGAATTTCATTACGGTTTAGTTAGTTTATGCGTGATTTGTGTAGTTGCCTCAGTAGCGTCTTCTAGTTAGAAATCTATTCTGCTTATAGTAAAAATAACGGTACAAGAAACAATTAGAAGAATACGAAAAACGGTATTTTTATTCCAAACTTTGTTAGTAAAAATGTAGAACTAAATGTACTAGGCCCTAATATGCAAATAGTAACTAGGGGATTTTCATTCTGTAATGCTAAAATATTATCAGTTCCCTAAGTAAGAGTTTGAGCTCACGAAAACTATCATAGTTTTCGTAATTGTAAATTATGTTTCTATGTTCATTTTGGTGTAAAGTAACCATATACTTAAGAATACGCAAATGATAGAATTTAAACACTGTTTATTTGTATTGAAACGAAAACAATAAAATCAGTAGTAGTACAATTTGTACGAGTGCGAGCTCACGAAAACTATTAGTTTTCGTAATTGTAAAACTCGTACTAAGGGTACAGTTACATTTAGAAGTAGTGCCAAAGTGTATAACGACTCTTCCTATATTACGTAGCCCTGGCACTTTAGTGTTAGCATTTGTGAATTATAAGTAGGTACAATCGGCCGCAGATAAGTTTACCACAAATTCTCGAACATTCTGGATTCTTTGATTACATAAAAATGAGGTGAAACTTACAGTCAGCTAGAAACATTTTGACGGCCCCAACAAAATTCTGCGAAACTCCAAAAATTACTTATAATATTTTACCAGGACTAAGTGGATTTCTTTCTATTGAAAAAATTCTTTAAATTTATATATATCTAGCAGTTTAATGTTTAGAAGTGAATGTGTTTGTTTAGTTAGATTCTTTCACGTTTATTTGTAGATTTGACGGATTAAAAAACACAGAACATTTAATTTTGCGTTTCTTTGATATGCCAGCACTTCGCTTGGTTATTCGCGTTTGCTATTTGGAAACTTGTTCTTTTTATTCCATAAAAAGCATGATAAGGACAGACTGTTGTCAAGTTTACAAATAGCAAACACGAATAGCCAAGTGAAGTGACGGCATCAGGTTGGTCAATTTGATCTGTTGCTGATTGTAAAATGTACATTGTACCTTCTTTATAAATATTACTGAGCCCATAAAACCGAAAAGAAAAGTCACAAATAAAAAATTCTGATTCAGTCATTAAACAAACGTGGTGAACCTGTTATTTTGTATTTTATAATCAAACTTTTTCTGTTCAGCATTATGGAGGTTATTTGTACAATATTAGGAAAAATACAGCGACTTTTCCGAGTGTGTTGTTTACTCATAAACAAAAAGTGGTAATTGAAATGGTTAATGTAGACAACAAATCCTTAAAATACTCCCGAACAAAATGAAACTGACATTTTCTCGCATTAAAGAGTCATTTAATTTATGTACCATACCTAGATACTTTAATTGCGTAAGGTAAAATTTTACTAAGAAACACTACAAGGGCTGTTCTCCTCTAATATTCTTCAAAGATATCAAATGTCATTGAACATCAAGCTTTAAGTTAATAATGAATAGAATACATTTTAACATATCACCATTTATAATTTTTATTTTTTAAGCATGTAATTGATGTTTTAATCTAAAGAAAATACCTATAACTAGAAAAAATTCCACGCGGACCAGGCAGCAGCCGGGACTGTCTTGCAGCTTAAGAATGGCTAGAGGAATTTCGACGTGGCCATCAGGGCCGCGGTAGCATAATTGGTCAAAGCATTCGCCCGGGTAGCGAAGGGTGCGCGTTCGAGTCCCGTCTGCTGCCTGGTCCGCGTGGAATTTTTCCTAGTTATATCACCATTTGCTTAGCAAGATTTTATAGTAAATTAATTATGTTATTTGATGTAGGCTATTTATTTTTTAAATGTAGTCATGTTTTGTTCGATTCGAGAAGACTGCTGTGTTAAAAGCACAAAGTGTTTGGTAGTAAGGAAAGTGAGATTATGATATAAGAATGTATTGTATTTTTTTATTATTAACGGGCAGTGGACAGCAAGAAATATGGCATAGCTATACTATTTTTAATTATACCTAATACTGTAATTAATTCGTGCAAATAAACTACCCATGCCATATGACAAAAGTCTGTCCTTATCATGCTTTAGGAGGAATGAAAAGGACAGGCTGATGTCAAGTTTACAAATAGCAAACACGAATAGCCAAGTGAAGTGCCGACATGACACAAATACTACACTTAATATGTTGCCAAGACACTGAATCGGTTTCCGTAATAGTAATGGCGTGTAATGTCCAGTAAGAGAATCCCATAAGAGCACAAACAGAATTTATAATTTTTATTCAAATTATAATCCCTGTAAAATAATGCTTATTTGTAAATGCAGTTTGTATAATAATCCTGCCCCAAAAGCATTTAGTTATAGCATAATATTATATTTTTGCATCCATTATTTCTTAAGGATAATGCCAATATTTAAATGATAAGTGCACTTCTAGATAATAATTTGCTTGTATAATTTATACTGTTAATAGTATTTAAGCGAGCCATTTTTATTATTCATATTGACGTAGCTATCGAAATCGGATAAATTGATGCTTTTACAAATTAAAAGCTGGATAGGAGATATCAAAATATGAATGTCAATTTAACAGAAATATAAAAAAAAGTAACGTTATTTTATTTAAAAAATCTATCTTTCACTGAGAATAAAAGTGCAGAAAGCCCCAATTACGAACTTAAAATTTTTCATCGCATGTAATTATATGTTCAAAAAACGCCGTGCAGTAATAGACAACTTGTATCGTATACTATTTTATAGCAAGTGTGACATAAACCCGCCCCGGACCCGGGCAAAAGGGGGGGTTATGACGAGGGATGCGATTAGTGTTTTGAAAGTAAAATTCATATATTGCAATCACAAAGAATTGCAATACAGACTGCAAGTCAAACTCTGAAAAGAAAGAATTCCGGTTCAGATTACCATTTTGAAAGTATATTTCAAAAGGAAAAAATCAAATATTACAACAAAATAGAATTTCAATGTATCCATGAACGTTTATTCCTTGATTGGCATAACAATATATTAAACAAAGATACAATTCTCGCGGAATGAATTATAGCTAACCGTTTCTCCTTGTTTTGGCTGTCACTGAAAATCCCTAACCTATCGCTAATTTGTCATTTGTTTGCTGTGAGTTTTTAAGCTCCAAATGACATTTAAATGTGTTTCCTTTTATTTTTTCTACATGAGTGAAGTTGGTCAATTCATTTACACACCGTGCAGAAATAGGCAACTTAGGTCACGGAAAAGCGTGCGTAAAGTGCGGTTTTAGGTCACACTGTGCTATAAAATATATATATTTATAAAGAAGTTAATAGCTGCACTTATATGAATTTAGTTGGATTTCATTTTATATTACTACTTGGCGATAGTAACAAGTATTAAATTAACTATCGTCTCTGTTAGATATTAAATTCACATAATTTGTTCTGTGCAATTTAATATTCAAAAATATCTCCAAAGTGCAGCCAAACGGCTAACCTCGGACTAGAAAAGTTAAGTACAATTTTTTACATACACGCGACTCAGAATTAATATCAGTTTAATTTTTTTTTTGTAAATTGTCACAATGTTTTTTGCATGATAACTTGGTATGCATGTTATTGTTTGGAATCAAAGTGATGCAACCGATGTTTTATTAAATTAAACTTAACACCCCTATTTTTCCGCTGAAGGTAAAGTCATTTCTATGAAAAATCCAACTTTAATGATAGTGGACGCAATTTTGGTTGAATCAATTGGTATTTTAACTATCCAATGCGTATTGATGTAAATGGGAAATTATTAAATACAAAAGTTATAAAAAAGTACTTGCAAGTTTTTTTTATATACTTAGAAGCATACCCTCCCCCTTTATTTACTCATAATATTTTAATAAAACAACAGAGAACAAATTGTTAAATAAAAAACGACATATTAGAGTATTTTTTATTACAAAAATAAATCTAACAAATTCATTATCACAAGGGCTCACAATAACATTTATAGCCACATTTAATACTAAAGAAAATATACTTTATGTCAACTGAATAAAGCAGATTTTCTTTGTTCCATAAATACAGCTATGAAAGGATTGTAATAAGCACTTATGGCAAGACCACCGAATTGTAGCAATGATTTACATATACATATTAATCTTTTAGGATTTTTATGAAAATATGAAATTGCAATTCAGTCTTTTTTGGGTATTTTAGAAAATAAAAACGAATAACTATAACTTGATTCGAATTTGGATCGGATAAAAAAACAGATTATCATCGTTATAATAAAACTAATATTCAGAACAATTACCTGTATGGAAGAGGTTTTTCATTCTCGAAATTGGCAATATCTGGTAACGAACTTATTTATAAAACTATATTGCAAACTTGAGCTTTTTAAAATAAAAAAAAATGGTATTGGTGTCGATTCTCGCATGATTCTCTAAACCTAAACTTAAATTTGACAACAGTGTATCCTTGTCACGCTCAATACAGAATGATAGGGAGAGACCGTACCCTTAATACGAGTTTGAGCTCACGAAAACTATCATAGTTTTCGTAATTATAACTTATGTTCCTATGTCCATTTTGGTGAAAAGTAACCAAATATACATCATTTGTGTCTTCTTAAATTTAAAATTTAAGAAGACGCAAATTATTTATTGATGGGATTTAAACACCGTTTATTTGTATTGAAACGAAAACAATAAAATTAGTACCCTTAGTACGAGTGCGAGCTCACGAAAACTATCATAGTTTTCGTAATTGTAAAACTCGTACTAAGGGTACTGGATGTCAAATTAAGTATTAAGTTTAGAGAATCATGCCAGAATCGGCACTATTCATTAATATTCGAAAAAACTTACTTTACCGAAACTTTAATTTCGGGAAAATAAGTAAATTATAAAAACAATAATAAAATACAAATAGAAAATTGTGCGTTGGCGGTGGTCGTACTGTTTACATAGTTATGCTTTATACACTCTGAATTTTGAGTTAGGTACTCTGAGAAAGTTAAATATCGAGTAAATAAAAATAGTGAGAACAATTACCTTTATACAATGAACTTACTTGACCCCCATAAAATAAAACGGCGAAAATTAGAAATAAAACACTTGTTTTGAAATTATTATCTGTTCAAAGTACGTAGATACTAAAATAAGTTTAATTTGAATCAATTTTGAGAGTTAAAATTATTAAAGATGCATGATTGCAAAATAATTACTGAATTCTCCTTGAGACACTTCTCGAAAAAAATATTAAAATTTTTTTTGGATATTTATCCGAAATCGTGCACATGGCTAAAGAAGGCGCAGAAGCAAAACTTCATTCAGTGCGCGGTGAGCACTGGTAGTCTGTCAATAGAAACGTTTATCTGCGTATGCGACAGGGCGCCAGTGCTCATTTACACGCACAATTGTATAAAGCTTTGTATCTGTGCCTTATTTACTCATGTGGTGACAGTTTATGTAAATGCGATTTTAAAGCTAAATATGTGTTTAAACCGTGAATCCAAAGAAAATGGTTAAAAGCTACAGTTTTAACAACATAGATTTTGGTTTAAAATCGGTTCATTTGCAACTAAATATTATTGTATTCAATTAACTTTAATTTGTGGTAGTTGTACCACAAACTTCGACGAATAAAAACCCATAAAACATCTATGGTAGGATCACTTCGCTCTTTAAATCTTTTTAGTAAAATTAAACAGTATCACCACTGGCAACACGTTCCAACATGGTGACAATATATTTTATAATATCACGACTGAGTTACCCTATCATTAATAATATCACTTTTTACACAATTAAAAATCTCACAATATTCCTCTTTATTATGTTTTTTAAATCTTCACTTATATTGCGCGTTTGGGGTTCTTTGTGTCTGGGGGGTGTTTCAACAGCGTTTCTAGCGAAGGCCCATTTCTTCCTAAAGGGTCCCTAGGGAACATGATCATATCGTTGACCCACGTGAATGGCAACACTCGGTTCTCTATGACGAACCGCCATCTTGGATTCTCCCTATGAAGATCTCTGTAGTTGTCTCCGGACACTATAACTCCGTCGAATTCCGCTGCACATTGAACAATGTACCTGAAGTAAAATTTGTAATATTTTCAGATATTTATATTTATTTAAAGTATCCTTTCGCTAAAATGAGTGAAACGTCAAATGTTTGACAGAAAAATAGGTAGAACAGTTTATATGGGAAAATTAAATTGTTGTTTTTACTATGTTCCTCGCAATTTTTCTATATTTTCTCACAGTTTAAACCTTCCCTCGACTACAACAAACGTTTTAAAGCCAAAATCAGCTATATCTAAATGATTCCTTAAAAAGACAGTTTTAATGACTTTGAGCCTTATACAGCTTGATATAAAATTCATAATCTATAGAGAAAATTTGTGCATTTTTCGCTTTAGTGCTGCCACCTAAAGCCGGTCATTTCTGAACTCTAGGTGATTGTTGATTCTTGTAGGAATCTATGATTACCTGTCATCGTATGAAGCCACCATCCGCCCCTGTATCGCTCGCAGTTATATTCACCTGTCATCGTATGAAGCCACCATCCGCCCCTGTATCGCTCGCAGTTATATTCACCTGTCATCGTATGATGCCACCATCCGCCAATGTATCGCTCGCAGTTATATTCATCTGTCATCGTATAAAGCCACCATCCGCCCCTGTATCGCTCGCAGTTATATTCACCTGTCATCGTATGAAACCACTATCCGCCCCTGTATCTCTCGCAGTTATATTCACCTGTCATCGTATGAAACCTCCATCCGTCCCTGTATCTCTCGCAGTTATATTCACCTGTCATCGTATGATGCCACCATCCGCCCCTGTATCGCTCGCAGTTATATTCACCTGTCATCGTATGAAACCACTATCCGCCCCTGTATCTCTCGCAGTTATATTCACCTGTAATCGTATGAGGCCACCATCCGCCCCTGTATCCCTCGCAGTTATATTCACCTGCCATCGTATGAGACCACCATCTGCCCCTGTATCTGTCGCAGTTATATTCACCTATCATCGTATGAAGCCACCATCCGCCCATGTATCTCTCGCGGTTATATTCACCTGTCATCGTATGAAGCCACCATCCACCCCTGTATCTCTCGCAGTTATATTCACCTGTCATCGTATGAAGCCACCATCCGCCCCTGTATCTCTCGCGGTTATATTCACCTGTCATCGTATGAAGCCACCATCCACCCCTGTATCTCTCGCAGTTATATTCACCTGTCATCGTATGAAGTCACCATCCGCCCCTGTATCTCTCGCAGTTATATTCACCTGTCATCGTATGAAGTCACCATCCGCCCCTGTATCTCTCGCAGTTATATTCACCTGTCATCGTATGAAGTCACCATCCGCCCCTGTATCTCTCGCAGTTATATTCACCTGTCGTCGTATGAAGTCACCATCCGCCCCTGTATCTCTCGGGACGGCGTGTACACCACAAGCCCGCGTCGCTCCAGTTCGTCCAACAATCGTGGCTCGGTGCTCTTGCCGAACTTGCACCTGGTCACACCACACGCATCACCATACATTCCACATCACACCGTATACAAGTTTATAATTGCAATATTTTTACTACTCGTGTTTTCTTGTATTATGAGGAAGCAGTATGTACTTAAAATATTTGCAATTATTTTAAGAATAACACAGAGACTAGGAATGCTACGTTAAGAAAATAAAGAGCATCTGTTACTTTTGCTAGTTTCAGTTAAATTTTGTCTGTATTGAAGTTAAATATGGATTGAACTAAGATTTTACTATTACTAATGAACTTTAAAAGTGACGTTCTTAAAAAGAGAAAACTGAGTTTTATTACAATTGAAATCATGACATTTACTCCCTATGCTTCAGTTAACCGCAGCCGTGTAGAGGTTTCTATGTTCAATTATTCACCATCACGGTTCAATTCCACTACTTCTAAAAAAAAAATAAGCTAGACCTACTATATATTTGCTACAGTATATTATCAGCAATGTGTGGATGAAAAAGAACTCAATTTTCAGCAAATTGTGGTATAAGGTCCCCCGCCGTAGATTGCGAACCGATGGCGTAGCTTTTCGACATTCACAAGTGCTTGTTACAATTGAGACTGAATAATAATATTGAAATTTGAAAAGGTGTGAAAAATCGCCAAAATTCTATATAACCTACTATTGAATGCGATAATGAAGGATATTTCTTGAAAAAATGGCCAAACAGTAGAGCTTAGCATGAAGGATGAAGGAACTTAGATGCAAGAAAAAAACGGCCACCCAATCAGGCCATTAATGAAATTTCAGACGGCTGAATACTTCAGCATATAAAGGCACTTGTTTCTAAAGAGACACATCTTAAATTTGTATTAAGACTTGTTAGGAAATAAATATTCCGATCCATACACAACATACGAATAATCCTAGTGATGAGAATTTAAGGCAAGATCCCCTAGAATGACGAAAACGCGATCATAAAAACGAAACAAAAGTAGGACTGTTTTTTCACCCAAGTTTTAGTTCTGCCGAAATGGAAATCAGTTTTATAATTTACCTGAACCGCGGCACAAACGCCTTGACCACGTGTCCTCTTCTCAGGAAATAATCAATGCAGATTTTCAGACCTTTTACTGAAAACACCCTGCCTTTTCCATGTCTGTAAGTTAACAATGTTAGTAGCACAATCCAGCAAAATAAATTTGTTTTTATTATTAACCGTAAGGAAAGTAATATTATTATATTATAAGTATATTGTACATAGTAGGGATAACATTTAAAGGAGATGTTTAAGTGTAATGTCATGTCTGACGACTGTTATTTGTAACGGCAGCTCCAATCCGATTACTGCTGGAGTTAGTGGAATAATTCCCTATATTTTATTTATTTATTAAATTATAGACGAGCAGAATTTCGCCGATGTGTCTGTATCATGTACTGTTGAAATATTTCATTTGTTAAATTTTGTCTGTCAGCATGATCTCTTGCTTTATCTATCTGTCCAGAATGTTTTAAATGGATTTATTGCCTTAGAAGCGACCATATTTTCCGGTAATTTGTTGCAATGGTAAACAGCCCTGTTGCCAAGAACGTGGTTAGCAGTGTTTGTTTGTTTCGACATAGGCTGCTGTTGAATATTTCTGAGCAGTATATCAGACGTAATCATTCTCTTATCTCGTACAGAGGAAGCTGGACTCTACTATGGTAATCTCGGGGGTGTCCACAAGTTTTTATTCTTTAATTGTCTAGAAATCACGACCAGCTTTGTATCAATGATCTCCGTCTAGCTAACATTTTAAATCTTTCAAATCGAAAACAGCACGTATCAGGAAGTCCTCCTATTCCACGTGTTCGTTGTTTATCAGGCTCGCTTTGGCTCTTAGCCTGATTCTATGTGACCTGTGCTTACAAATTTTATTCGGCAATATTAGGATACGACTTACAATGATCGTGTTTGTTCCTTAGATCACGTGAAGGATTGATTTCTCTAAACTACTTAAGTTTCAGTTATGATTAAATTAGCAAAAACTGACCATATTTGGGAACTCTCTGTGTGTGTGTGTCTGTATACACTGGACTCATCTGGCTATTCCGTTTATCTTGAAATGTCGTAAGCCAAGATATGTTGCAATTTACAATTGCTTAGTGCCAAATCTGACATCATGGGCCCGCTGAACAGGATATTATGTTGGACTCCTTTGTGTTAAGCCTTTAAAAACAATGCTTTTCACAACCAGAGCTGGAATAGTAGAACTTAGGCCATCCCAAGTAAGCAAATAAGCAATAAGTGTTGAGTTATAACAAACGACCCACCGTTAAGGGCAACACTTGCAATTGTGACAGCGACATCTATACGCCCCAAATATAATAAACGAAGCAAGAAATGAGACTCCATAACAACAGATGGCGTTACTGGCGCTGCACTCAATAATATTGAAAGCCTACATCGCGCAAGAGAAATTCGGAAGTTAACACTTCATATAATACAAAACCTGACCAATTTTAAGAAAGAAGAGATGATCGTATCATCTGTACAAATAGATCTGATCTACAATCGTGATATGGTGTATATTGTGCTTGGATGAGATACCACGTACGCAACTCTGGTACACCTGAGCATAATTAATTAGTTTCCAGCTCCTTAGTACCGTGAGCTAATATCAGAAGCGAAAATATAGATATGAATGGGGAAGATAATAACATACCACGTAGGGCAACAAATATTGTGGAAGCCAATGTCTCTCAAATTCATACAGTTGAAATAAAAAGGTTTCACCTTGGTAATTTCGTTACAAATATCCTTGCATTCATGAGCATTAAAATATTTTGTTTGGCAGCTGAAGTTTGACACTTGATGTCGATTGAAGTTTAACCCTCCGTAAACATGGCAGTCTTTTCTTGATTTAAAGTTGATTTAAAATCGAGACATTTTTTCGATGCTTTAATTTAAATAAAGAGCAGTAAAGAGGAGGTACTAATATCAGCACCTGATATTCAGGACTTGGTACCAGTTGCAAAGAAGGCATTCAGATCTCTTCAAGCTGTTCCGATTGTTGATGACTGTCATATGTGGCTACCTATCATTCTTCAAACACACTGCTTTCTGTAACACATTATTTGTGTGATTCCTCATAAGTGTTTGGATGGTACAAACCAAAATAGTGGAAAATGGTATAGTATACGTTGTAAGACGTTCCAGTGTTTTAGATCGTTATTTCCAGTTTGTAGGATAAATTATAAGTGTAATGTTAGGTGATATCACAAAAATATTATAAAGGCGAAAGTATGTGAGTGTGTATGTTTGTTACTTCTTCACGTCTCGGCTGGAGCGATTTAAATAAAATTTGGTATGGAGTTAGCGGACACCCTGGATTAACACATGGCTACGTTTTACTGCAGGAAAATTTCCCTAATAAACCGCGGGTAACAGCTAGTATAATATATATCTTTTTTTACATATTAGGTCCTTTATAGTCATGTGTCTTAGGCACTGGTATCAATGGTGGTTCTATCTCTGAGATCCCTGGTTCGATTCCCAGTACATTCTCCATAGACCTGATGTACAAAATTAACTTTATTATATTGTCTCTGGTCTGAGTGCATGACTGTCCCCACATTAGTGTGTGCGACTTCAAACATGTGAACAACAAAAAATTAGGTCTGATTCCTTTGTTTTACAGTTTTTACAATCAAAGGATTTAGCCAGCGTAAAACTAGTTACTCATTTAAATACTTCCTACAATCTGGGGTCCTTTAAGAGAGGCGTGAAGAAGCATTTTTGCAGGCTGGCAAGGTGAGGATGGTTGGTGTGGCAGTTTATAAATGCTGTACCAGCTATCTTCGCGTCTGGACTTTATCACCACTTAACATCAGGTGGTGTAGTCATTTGCCTACCTGGCTATATAAAAAAAAAACCAACACCTAAGGTACCTTAAATATTTCTGATTTCCATTACAAATGTGCTTGGGCTAAGGATCACAGGATACCTATACCCTGATTTGGGGATTTTAACTTACTTACACCAAATTTAAGTGATATTGGATACAATAGCAACATTTTGTGGAGCTCAGTGGAGCTGTGAATTGAGCTACTATTGCAATGGCCAGTAATAGGATGACTTTCCCAAATTTACTATTTCAAGCTCCTCCTTACTCAGGAAGGCATGTTAAGCTGTTGGTTCCGGATGCATTCGCAGTTGTTAGCACCCACTATCCGCACTGGGCTTGCATAGTAAGTCATTTCAAATTTAACTTTAGTCTTAGTCATTAGAAAGTTTTCTTTAATTTTATTTGAAACTCCGGTAGAGTTAGTTGTGTGCTTTGAAGTCCTGGGTCTATTCCTGTAGAATTCTTAAAATGCTTTTTTTGAGATACTCAATTAAGCTGTTGGTCACTGTTTTTATGATTAAACGTGAGAACTTTTCAAAGACTTTGAATGTTTAATTAACCAACTGAATAAATAACAATAGGCAGAGCTGTTTAGATTAAACAACATATTAAGTCTGAAAAATAATATTTTTTATTAAATATCTATATTTAATTATATTTGTTACATAATAGAGATAACACTATGCCAAATAACACATAAATAATTTTATGAATAAAACCACATCCTTAGCATGTTGTGTTAAAAAGTGATGTCATCTTTTGTTATGACAAAACCTTTTTGGTTTCAATTCCTTACAAAAACATCTCTCTCAAAGCAGTTTTGGTATCTTTGTAAATAATCAACAGTGACATCACTTTTATCTAAACAGCGTATTTTCTATCTCTTCCGTACCCTTGACCATTTCTAATAAGAATAATAAAAAAAACAGAAGATACACAATGAACTATAGAATGTTACTATCTTTCAAAGCGCATCTTCCTCACTTACTCCATTGCGACATTGCTACCGTCTACGACGATCATTCGTAAACCCGATTTCTTTCTCTCGTCCTTTTCAGGATTGTATATATTACTTCCAATGCTGTTTCTAGACTGCCTCTCACCTAAGATCACCTCCTTTATGTATGTATCCTCGACTGTTTCTGTTGCGCGATTAGTTTGACCCTTGGAAGTGAATATTAGTTTACATTTAAGAGTCTCAGTCTATCAGGTTAATATGTAGTTTGAATAAGTACATATTGTAAATTAATTAAAACAACAATAAAAGATTAGAAAGAGTTTAGACGGAAGAATAAAAATTCCGACTATGTTTTACTTTATTGCTTTTCAAGACTTACAATGTATAGGCAATAAAAATGTTAAATTAAAAAAATCAAAACACCCGACAGCCTAAATTTACTTCAAATAAAAACCTATTTTCGACAAACAAAATATTTGTTGTAGAATATATATAACGGGTCCCAACTGTTAAAGTAGCTTTGCTCCTTAGTTTACAGAATTATAGACTGCTGGACTTGTTTTTTTTATTAATACTCTTTGATTAGTTTCACCTGATGTTTGTATGTAACCGACTCCTTTGGACTTGATTTTGCCCAACTTTAAGCGATCAGATTTACTTTAAACATGGCAAATATATGTAGATTAGATGACACTACAATATTATGGTACCACCGAGCTGATCAGAGGATGGGGCTGTTCTGTTCATTTCTCCTGATGATGAGGACCTGATGATAGACTGGAAGGTCGCTGATGGACCCGGGACTGCCTACTAGTAAACAAATCTAGTTTGGGCTCATTACATTCACCTTAATATATTGTGTTTATTTCATGTTAAAGGCGGGGTATTAGAAAAGTCTTGCAATAATGAAGCCTTATCGGAAATGGAGAGGATACATATTCAGTCTAAATAAACTCATTCTATGTTTTGTAATAAACTCAAAAGAGTAATAAACTAAAAACATGCTTTTACTTACTGCACTAAACCGTCAAAAATAATCAATATATACTCTGTTTACTTCATTAGGGCTTTAGAGTAAGCCATGTTTTAAGTTGATTTTAAGATATATATATATATAGGGTCGGGTGTCTCAGATTAAATGGTCCCATGATTAAGACGAATCTATTGACGTTTGAACCATCAAAATCTGTCCACACATTTGGTCTCTATTAGTGTGTCACAAAGGAACATACATACATTTATAGACTGTTAAACACTATACCCTGATGCGCGTCGCGCTTCGCGTTCTTGTATTGCGCAGTTGAATAAAAATAAAAAATCATATAACTAAAAAAATGGAAGTGAGTAAGATAGATTATATGGGCTAAAATAAAAGTATGAAAATTAACATACAAAAATTAACATGGCTGCACATGCACTTTACCTTAAGCATTGAGATATTTTTCTTAATCTTTCTTGGCACCTTACATCCATTGAAAATGTTTTCAGTTATTAGTTCCAACAATTTTCCTTTATCGGAAGCGTTCAGTTTAGAAATGTGATTAACAAAGCTGCTCATGCGTTGTCCTCCGGCCATTTTTCTTTTAGGATTTTGAAGTATGGTGACATTAGATTCCCCACTGATCGACAAACTAGAGTTACTTGCCGAGACAAATGTACATTCATGATTATCATTTGTATTGTCTAAATCAATGACAGTATTACAATCCGTTTTTGTGATGTTGGATTCTGTTGTTAAATCAATCGTTAAATAGGAATCCCTATTTATTTCCTTTGTTAAATTATCAACATCTCTGTTAAAGTTTTCTGCCTCAACGGTGTTGTTATTTTGAGGAATACTCTCTGTACTTTTAGCTAAAGGAGTTGAGCAATCTTTTGGAGCAGTATTCAAGTTTTTCCTAGGAGTTGTACTTACAATAAGCACATCATTATCTGGAATCACTACAGGAATGTCATTTGTTAATTTTATACACTTATTATCAGACTCCAAAATATTTAACTCCGATAGTTTTCTTTTTTTACTCAAATTTTCATTTATTATAGTATCGTCTAGTACTATTACAGTATTATCACACGGGGAATCAATATTTTGGTTACTTTGGTTCCTGAGATCATTGAAAACCTTTTTCAACTTTTCAATTTTGTTTTGTTTTGATTTGTGTTCCCTTAATTTTTCATTGGCCTTATGAATCTTGTTATGTTTAGACCTTTTCTTATGTTTTCTCCCCATTTTCTTGTCCTTTTTGGACTTGCTGCTTTTAGTGATACTGGAACTGAGAGAATCTTGGGACTGTTGTTTCTGTAAAATTATATGAAATTATTAAATTTCTAAAAAAGGTATCTGCTGTTGCATGATTTTTATAGTGCAATGTAATAAATTTAATGAAAAAGTGATCTGCATAAGCAATATATGGTACACAATGTCAATTTGGAAATTTGATGATATTATTAGTAAAAACAGAAACCTCAAAATTACAAACACCCATATCTTCACACACACACCATATACTGACAAGTAGAACAGAAGCAAATACATTACTATCATGAAAACATAAACAATTTCTTCAAAAAAGTATTAATGAAAAGATCATTAGGTAACACATACACACCATGCTGCAAGTTATTTAAAAAACAAATAAAAGTATTATTATTATTTAATTGGCTTTTATTTGTGTGACTATGATAAACATGATGATGATGATGATTTTGTCCCACCCGCTTAGTATAAGAAATGTAAGAAAAAAAATTACTCAATAAGTACATAATTTGTGCAAAGCCTTGAATTTCTTGCAATATTCACCAGCGCTATAACTGCATGCGAAAAAGTATCAAAATTTACTTTACCCTTTGCAGAGAAGTATAAAGTAGCTGAAATGTAAATAAAAACTATTGAAAAGAGAAAATCAGACTAACAGATAACCGAGTGCTCGACGGTTTTCCCATTGTTTTTTTGATTTTTTTGTTATTTATTTGTTTATTTACCAGGAAATTTAGAATTAAATAGAAACGAATTTAGTAACAACGGCTGACACAATACCAGTTTTGTAATTTCGACACGATTTTTAACGTTTATCAAATCATAAATCCACAACAAAAAAGATGGCGGGCGCGAAAATTTGTTTTTGTTTGATTCACTCATAGGAAGGTAAAGGATAATCATACAGCATTAATAATTTTTAGTTTGTTATTTTTTCTTATTCAGTGTTTTCTGTTTTCCACATTGTTTTCCCATGGACTTATTATATACCTTAGGTTTTTCATAGATATTTCTATGGGTTTTTCTTCTAAAATAGCCACAAAACTTTCAAATTGGGAGAATCCCACACAGGATACGGAAGGATCTTAGATTAACCCCTTACCGCATACGAAGCCATTGGTGGCTCTAAAACTTAGGCATTTTTTTTTAGAATTCTATTTTATTTTTATTTCAAAACAATTGTTATAAATATCTTATAAATATTTTCGTGTAACGGAACGTATTTTTTATTGGTCTATGGGTGGTGACATTTGTCAAAATATTTGAGGTTATGTGCAGCGCGGCCCACCGTTCGGATGCAGAAATGTAATGTTAATTTTATTTGTGAAAAGAAAGTAATAAATCGGTAAGTTAAAAATCCTAGAATTTTATATTGTGATATATATATGTGCTATAACATGAAACAGGTGCTTTTTTGGTATTTTATTTTGTTTTACTTGACTTATGGATCCTTTTTTGAAATTGCCATTTTTGGCTTCGTATGCATTCACGTTAACATTTCTAACGCTCATATATGGCTTTGTGTGTGTTCATTTGCCTTTTTGCTTTCTTTGCAGCAATGAATCCTTCTCGCTTTTATGGTACTTCCAAGCTTGTTAACCCTATTCCTGGCGATGGCTTTATGAGTGACGATGAGCTTTCATCTGACAATTTTGACCACTTTCCCGAATGGAAACAAAATCGACAATTATGTCAGGGATGTTCAAAATATCGATCATTCACTATGTGTGGAAAGTGTAGAGTTTATTTGTGTTACAATGATAAACGTAACTGTTTTAAATATTTTCATAAGATATAAGTTTCTATATAATGTTCCTAATGCATACGAAGCCATATATGGATATCTATTATTCCACTAGACTGCATACGAATCCATATAATGGCTTTGTGGGCTAAATTCCAAAATAAGTAAAAAAAAATTTTTTTATTATTATTAATTTCTTAATTAAGACTAATAAAAGATACAATCGCTAAAATTTTTGTTTTATTTCATCCGTTTTATAATTCATGCAATAAGGGGTTAAGACAAAACGGGAAGATACGGCACTCGCGAGTTAAAAGTGATCAGCGACCAGCGTTGAAGCGTACATTCTGTCTTGCTCGCTCGATTGAATGTTATTTAACATGTGCGTGTGTGAGAGTTGCTTAGTTTAGTTGAGTCGGATCATATTTTATTTGATGCTAGTATGTATCTTCCCTTTTTATTTTAATGTAAGGGGAGGACGCGATTCGCTCGCGCCGATTGCGGCAGCGTGTTCACATTAGCCCGAATAGTCGCACACGCTCTGCAGCAAAATATACATACGCGGGATAGTGCCAGTTTTTTTTTCATGTCCCGCGCGAGATTCACCTCAATTTGAACGAAGCTTTAAGAGAATCACTGAGCTGAGACTGAGCGACACTTGCCTAAAATTGAAAATAACAAAAACGAAATACTAACATCCAAATACATCAACGAACAGAGCCACAGGGCAGCCATGAGGTCGCCCGTAAATATATCTTTTATTATTAGGATTATATTAAACGAACACCAACTTTGATCGGGTCTACAAGGTAAAAACTGATTGGCATTTTGCCCATTAATAGGTATTATTGTATCATAGTAGCTTCATTAGTGATTAGGACTGATTGTATTTTTTTTAAATCGTCTTTTTTTTCACACATTCTAATCAACATACAGTCGCGGTATACAATAAATTTTCGTTTTCTCTCGCTCTCTTGCCCCAAGGTTTTATAAAATTGTAGGGCGGAATATATCGCAAGATCTGATTCCCTATTTCAATATTGTAAAATTTCAATAAACAATTTAATTGTAAGTAGTTAGTTAAGTAATGCCTTGTATGTACATTTGATGTACACAATAAAATTCAATTTTAAATTTTAAACTTTTTTTATTAGAATACTGTTCTTGTTTAGCCTCGATGCTAAGCTTACTTAATGAGTATTTTTGTGGCTTTATTACATATAGACTATAGTGGATAATATAATACAATAAACATTTAAGAGCTGCTGCGGTCACAAAAAAAAATATATAGCAGCTGGGATTAAACGATTAAAAATAAAGCGACATCAGCTCCATTATCTTTTTATAAAACAAAACGTAACATTATATAATTTTATTACAAAAGCTTAAACTAACAAACGTACCTATAAGGTAGACTGCTTAACTGAGACTTCGCCTGTGGGGTAAAGGGTGCGGGGAAGGAGGTGCAGACAGCGGGCATTTGTAATTTTGACAAGAATGTGCCTGCCGCCTGCACCTCTCTGGTTCCCCGTTCTCGTCCTCCCGCACATCCTTTACCCCACAAGCGAGGTCTCAGTTAAGCGGTCTACCTATATATGTATATATATATATATATATATATATATATGTGTATATTATTTTGAACTTCCATGGTCTATTAGTTATTAGCGGGATTGCTACCATGTTCTTACTTGCCTTGTTTTTGTGATATTTGTGATCTGTTATATCGATATATATATTTTCAAGAGACGGACGCAGCGGATTTTCCGCTTGAATTAGAGCGCCGAGTGGGGAAGTAACCTCCACTTTACAGAATACCACGGTAAAATAATACTACCTTTTGGTGGTGTTGTGTTTCTATCGGTGAGTAAGGTTCCAGGGCTCTACGGGATTGGATCAGGCTATGGTGGTCGCTTACCATCAGGCAGGCCATATGCTTATTTGCCACCCTTAGATAGGTATTGGTAATGTTGCAAGTGACATGATCACAGAGTTATATGATCACAGAGTGACATGATCACAGAGTTACATGATCACAGAGTGACATGATCACAGAGTTACATGATTTGTTTATTTATTAAGGGATAAAAGACGGTTAAAATTTGTGTTTTAAGACAAGACTATTATATATGGTACCTACATGGTACCGTAAAATCTGTAACCCACATTTTATTAATAAAAACTAGTGCCTTGCTGATGTTACATTCAGTGAGAGTAAGCTTAACACTGATAAAATCCTTGTGCCTAACTATACTATTAACAAACATAAAAAGTAATTAAACAATTTTCATAAAGAAATCGGTAATATTTTATATAATTTTTTTTTCACTACATCTAAATAAAAAATAACTACACTAAGCGAGTTTCATACATATAAATATAAATATAATAAATGTGCCTTTTTGCAATATTTTATTAACATCATACTTAAATTTATATTCTGTTTTTGATAATATATCCACTTCCGCAAACAAAGTATTGTAATTTTTAGCCATTCTATGTAGAGGGCAACGGAGCCCTGTATTTGTTCGATAAATCTGAAAATGATTACAGAGTTACATGATCACCTAACTTGTTACTTAGCTTCTTCTCTACTTACTCCGTAATCATGGCGCTTGCAACAGTGACGAAATATCGAAGCTCGCAAAAAACAAGGTAATGGTAGCAATCCCCGCTATAGCAGTAAAGCTTAAGCTTTAACTCTTCCCAACTAGCAAAACATTACATAATCAATTACTTTCTCGACTAGAGATGGAAAAACACTCGCATGATAGATCCCATTATTACAGAAAGCCTTATAAACTTATCTTTCTGGATTTCATTACATTGAACGCTTTTAGGCGGTATAAACATGTCTAGTAACCGTTTACTCGACGGATTTATGTTAGAATCATTCGATAATTGTATAAAGACATCTTCCGATCATCTTCATATTTCCATAAAGTTTTATGACAGCTCTTTGACAGCAATTGAATTGCCAAATTATCGTCAAACCCGCTTCTATAGCACTATTTTTAATTCTTAGAACAATATTGTAGAGAAAAGGCAATTAATTTCATTTCAACAGAATAGGAGGTGGTCTAAACGATATATGAAAAACAACATACAGCGTAATAGTGGAATAAGCGTTAAGAAACCTTTTATAGCACAACCACCATATTTGCTTTTGTTTTGATAAATGGACCATAGTCCGTGAAAAAAATTAAAAGAACTAGTGTAACAATAAAATTAATATTATTTGTCATCTAATATTTACTAAGAAATCTTGCGGCCCATAAAAAATAAGATTAAATTTTATGTAATATTTTTATTTTGCAAGATTTCTTAGTAAATAATAAATGACAAATAATATTAATTTTATTGTTAAAATTTACTCGCCATTAATAGCAACTTATATTTTCATCACGAAGCATTCACTCTGCTTTTAGCCGAGACATAGAAAAGGGGGTTCCAATTATCGACTACTAAGAGCGCCATTGCAGCTTGTTTAGGGTTCCTTAGTGCAAAATGTCAAATCACTGTTATTCGTTCTCTCACCGTACCGCACCGTACTACCAGTACACCAGTTCTTATAATTTTTTCCACGGGCTATAGTCCATTTTCGCAAAACAAATGCAAATACGGTGTTTGTGCTATAAAAGGTTTCATTTAACGCTTATTCCACTATTACGCTGTATGTTGTTTTTCATATATCGTTTAGACCAACTCCGATTCTGTTGAAATGAAATTAACCGCCTTTCTCTACAATATTGTTCTAAGAATTAATAGTCGAAAAATAGTGCTATAAAAGCAGGGTTGACGACAATTTGGCAATTCAATTGCTTTCAAAGAGCTGTCATAAAAATTTATGGAAGTATGAAGATGATCAGAAGATAGTTTTGGTAGTTGGGTTAATACTGAATGATTATATACATTTCATACATACTGAACAAACATATTTTACAGGACAGGGGCGGCCTTAGACATTGAGAGGCAACGAGCGATAGATATTTGCGAGAACTTTTTCCTCCTAAACGGTGATTTATTATATATATATATATTTTTTAAATTTAAGTGCTAGATGGTTAAATCTAAAGATTTTTTTATTTGAACAA